AGTAGACTTGTTTCAAGTAAGCTAACAAAATGGGTAAACTGACCTGGATGGTACTGCTCGCTACCTGCATAGCAGGTTCGCTCCAATCGCCGCAAGGCTTTCAAACAATGGACGAAATGGTTGATTACATCAACAGTTTGGACACCACTTGGAAGGTATGGGCCAAACATTTATAGCTATAATACACATATTAATGCAAATGCTGTGCTAATTATAAGGCGGCCAAAAACTTTGACGACGCATCCCAGGCACAGTTAGGTCTCCTGGACAGGCCTGCCGGGTACGTACCAAACCCACCGCCCACTTACGACACCAATGAGGACATACCCGAGACGTTTGACTCGAGGGAACAGTGGCCCGACTGCGCCTCCATTAAGGAGATCCGAGACCAGGCCTCGTGCGGTGAGTTTGCAATCAATGACACTATTGTCATAAAATAAAATTTAAAATTAGCGACAAAACTAAATTGAAAGTCATGTCCAGTTTATACAATAAAATACGAAAACAATATTTCTTAATAACATTATGAGAATTAGTTTTAATGCTCGAACTCATTATTATTATACAGTATAATAATACTAATATACTTGTATTACTGTAACAATCGAGTATTTATTATAATATTTTCTACCACTTGAACTATTAGAAAAAAATATTTATTTATATTACTCATACTGAAGGTTTAATGTAAGGTTAAATGTCTCTCTTCAGCATGATAACCACCATTTATTAGAAAATATTCCCTATCCTAGAATTTTATTATTATTTTAGTATAAATAAACCAGCTTGCTAAATTATTAATTGAACCCGACAATAGGCTCCTGTTGGGCGTTCGCGGTGGTGGAGGCCATCTCTGACCGCATATGCGTCGCCTCAAAGGGCGCACAACAGGTGGAGATCTCGGCCGAGGATATGAACAGCTGTAGTGAGGCCGGCGATTGCGGCGGAGGGTTCATCGAAATGGCGTACGACTACTACGTCGAGACGGGACTGGTATCCGGTGGACTGTACAACAGCAAAAAGGGTTGCCAACCCTATACCATACCTGGTTGCGAGCACCACGTAACAGGCAAATTGCCCCCCTGTACGAGTGGTGGGTCTACCCCCGCGTGTAAGCACACGTGTGAGGCCAGTTACAACCGTACGTACACCGGGGACAAACACAAAGGTAGCAAAACCTATGGGTTTAGCCTCCAGAATAAGGAAGTCCAGTTGGATATCATGAAAAATGGACCGGTAGCTGTTGGATTTACGGTATGTCATAGTTTTTTTTATATACCCACCTAGTTTACTTAAATTTGTACAGTGCTATAGCATGTTTATAATAAATAGGTTTACACACATTAATTAGCGGTGAATACTTGTTGAATATTATTTAAACTGTAATTTAAAA